ATTACTGCCACTAATTTCCATCCATAAACAAAAATGATCGGCCATCTTGGATTTTTCATCAAAAAAGTTATCTGTTGTTTTCTTCAAATTATTAAGGAAGAAGAAAAAAAACATATATAAATTTATATCATAATTTTCTCTTCAAATGTTTAAATGCATGGTATAAGATTTGCACTTTCCTAAGCAAAAGTTATTTCATCATGTTCTTTGTTTTAATTTCTTTATTTTTTTCTTTGTATTATTTATTTAAATGAATTCCTTTTTTATTTATTTAAACTAATTAAAGGCAGATACTGCCCCAAGGTGTTTGTTATCTTGAACATACTCTAGAATCTTAGGAACAAAAGGTTTCAGCTGAAATTATCTAAAAGTCAGAAATGCTGATGAGACTAGTTAAAACCATAGAAAATTAAAGAAATAATAAACTAATAAATTTAACAATTGTATAAATCCAGGCTTCAACCATGCAGACTTTGATGTGATCTGATCTTGTATCATTGTTCAATTAAATTTTATCTTGCACCCTTTGCTTCTTAATGGTTTCAAGTTTGATGTGTGCGGTGAGAAGGGGTTTCAAATTAAACAGTTACTTAGAATTCTGCCTTATTCATCTGAAGCTCAAATCAAATTAAAAAAGAAATAACTTGCATTTGATTTTACAAGTTAAAGAAAAATGTTTAAATAAATTGTGGAATCATAGTTTTAGTATGACTCTTGACAACTTAAACGTTTTATTTGTAGTTTTCAGTAAAAGTGAGAATGTAAACGCCAGTCAAAAAATACAAAAAAGCTGTAGTCAGGTAAATTGCTTCAAAATAAAAAGTCAGTGGTTAAATCAAACTTTAAGATTAGTCATGGCTAAGTCAGTTTGAGCCTTTCATAAAATGAACACATTTTAGATTAAAATTTTTAAATCATTTCACCCCAAGCAAGGCAGCAAAGCCACTAACATTCAGTGTTTACTGAATGTGAAAGAATATAAGAAAAAACATTATTGAAGAATGAGAACAATAGAAGAGTAATCAATAAGATAGACGATAACGACTGACATTGCGTTTAAATTTTTGAAAATTAGACTTGACTGGAAAGCAAAAATCCTGACATGACATGGCACACAATAGAATATTATCAACACATTTTGGCAAAATACACTGTGCTTCAGATGTTAACAGCTTTACCAGTCTGCAGAGGGAATCTTTTGTGCAAGAAGAACCGGTATGACATTGCCCTATTTTGCCTTGAATGTCACCATGAACCACAATTACAGAAGAGATAATGGAAGTGAGAACCACAGCCATGCAAAATATGATAACTGAAAAAATGAATGCATGAATGAAACTTTCACTTTTTTTCAGGTATTCATTTATTAAAAAGATTTTATTCATTTAAAAGTAAAGACACAACTTGATGTCCTTGGCACAGTGGATATAGCACTGGTAAAGCATGTGTTGCTGTCAGTTAGTGGTCATGATTTCAATCACTGGATCAGGTAATAAATATACACTGGTTCCACAGGAAGAAACAAGAATTGACATCTCAGAGACAAGATAACACAATAATCAAAAGACATCTCAAAATCAGCCCCAAAATGAACACCTTGAAGATGGCCAGAGTACGGAGCATTATGTTTATAATAAGAATCATATTATAATTCTGCTGGTCCTTTACTTAGCTAGAATGACTGTTATGCATTACCAATAACTTTATAAATAATGAACTATTACATTTTTATGGAGTGGAAAGACAGAAAAGACATATCAGAGATGCTACTTGGTTTCAGTGAGAAAATGAAAGAAGTGAAGATAGATTATTAATGAGGTGTGATATATTATTGAATAAATCATAGAAAGACAAAGAAAGAAATAAAAACAGATAGAAGGGAAAATGAAAGTGTTTAACATTTGTTTCAGTGAAATAGAAAAAGTTGTCAATTTCAAATCTTGTCATTTGTACCCCCTTACTTCTTAAAATAATGACCAGTATCCACATTTATGATTGCTATTGCAATATTTTATTACAGTTGTTAAACTCGAATATTTAACAATGTGATAGGGGAATTTCTATGGATATTTTATAGTCGTAGAACTTGCCATGAGCTTATTCAAACATTAACTTAAGAATTAAAATTCATCAGAAAATTCAAATAAGAAACTATTTAAATTTTCATCTATATTTCTGGTATATTAAAATATGATTTTTTTTTGTTATATATATATTATTTATTCAAAATTATAACATCACTACAAAAATTGCAATTTTGTTTCAACACTATTGGTGTCTTATCAAGTGATGGTGTTGAATGTATATGACTGATGGTGGCAATCAACACCATCACTGGATAAGACACCAGTAGTGTTGAAACAAAATTGCAATTTTTGTAGTGATGTTATGACATACATATGCTATAATTTTGAATAAATATTATTTGCTCTACTTGGTATTGAGCACTCTTTAAGAATAATGTTTTTGGTTATCAAAATTATATAGATATATATATTTAATAATTGTCTCATTAAATGACTGTACCATATAGGACACAATTTCGATTTCTGTTGGAGAACTCATATTTCCTACAAAATTTCTTGAACATTCAGGCTGATAAATGTAATTAATACTGTTTAATTAAAAAACAGAGCATTTACTTTTTAAAATTGTATCAATTAAAATAATGTATAAACAGAAAATATATTAAATAATTGTTGAAATTAATCCATTGCATAATATATATATATATATATATATATATATATATATATATATTATGCAATGGATTAAGTTCAACAATTATTTAATATATTTTTATATTATATATATATATATACATATACACACACGCACACACGTATATCCCTGAAATGATAATATTGTACACCAAGCGAGCATACATTCTGGTAGTGATGTTAAATTTTATTTTTGTTCCACTGAAAATCCTTGGAAATTTTTGTTATCATCATTGAATGACTTTAGTTATTGTAGAATACAGAAACAGCACTGCTCTCTCTAGATATTTCTAGCAGTTAAAAAGTAATGGTAGTTCCTTTTCTATTAACAGGGATATTATAGCAAGATCAAAGAGCCAAAGCTTATAATAGAAAAGGAAATAAATGTAACTTATGTCTTGTTGAAAAACTGGTTATCTTAAAACACTTAAAATCCAAGCTTATAAAACAAGTGAGATGAATGATGGTTACATGCAGGCATAAAAATAAATATCTGCTTAAATATGTTGATCCAGATTAGTTTTAATTTTTAATGTAAATTAAAGTTTATTTTGAATATAAATTCATGTTTGTTTTTTTTTAAATAAAATAAATAAAACCAAGTCCCTTTTAAGGAAAAATTAAAAAAAAAAATTAAAATGAATATCCACAACTCAAAACTTATTTTAACTGCCAAATTTAATTATTTAAATTTAAAAACTGTAATTCCAGCATAATATATAGCTGCACCGGCATTGTGATAACCATATATATTAAAATTCAAATTAAGTAACGGTCAGTGTATACTCGGCACTTTAAAATTGCATTATGCATGAAACTCTGAGTGGTGCCATTGGTGAGTAATAATATGTATATTTATCTATATATATATATATATATATATATATATATATATTGCTGAATCCAAATTAATCAGATAGTATAGGTTGTTTTGTTCTGCTGATGTAATTTGGGGACTTCTTGGTATGGCATGTCCCTTCAGAGTATTGCTGATCATGGCTCTCCCCAACTTCCTAACCTTTTTAGCAACGGTTAAAGTTTTTTTACTATCCCTCCCATTGCCTGTTCAGCCATCCATTTACACAAGCTAGTTCGACAGATTACTCACTGCTTATTAATTTTATTTTAATGAACTTATCGAGTCATTAACTTCAGAATTAAGATTCATCAGAAAATACAAATGGGGAACCATGAAAATTTCATGGGTATTTCTATTTGATAATTAATAGGACAAAGTATTGTGTTAATAACAATACTTATAATAATCAATATCAGAACAATAGTTTGAATAAATTAAAGGATATATTAAAAATTGCTTGTCTCAAAAAGAAATAACATTTTTAGAGTGAGTTGGCCAACCTAATCCCAAAGTAGAATAAGACAAAACAAGAGGACTTCAAATGATTCAGTAAATAGGTGATCATGGCTCTCCACAACTTTCTGTGATTGTCCCATTCCTACCTCTGCTTCACTCTGACCTCTTGCTTTCATTATATCCTGTGAGTGTCAAATTCTCCAAGTCTTTCTTCCTCATTATGCACACCAGATATTCTAGCTCTTTCTTTCTGATTCTAAGTACAACTGTTTTTTTTTTGTTTTTTTTTTTCACTGGCCGAGACCAGAGGTTGTGTGTACAACAACTGCATTCAACACCTGGGCCCTGCTGATTTCTGTGGTGGAATAACATGGACGTGATATGCTGGATGTGTAGCATGTCCACTGAGGACAAGGTCAGGTCACTCGCTTCTCAAGAAGCTAGGCCTTGATGACCTTAAGTCAGTATTGTTTGAATAAATTAAAGAATATTAAAAATTCCTCATCTCAAAGAGAAAATACACAAAAATACTTAGCTATAGCATTAGTAGAGTGACTTTGGAGATACTGAAATCAATCAACAATTTAGATATTTGGAAATCATATTAACAGAGGATATAAAAGTGTAACATGGAATCCAAAGATGCATTGGGATAGCAAAAGATGCCTTCCAAAAGCTAAGTAAAGTATTAAGAAACAGAAAAATATCATTAGAAACAAAGAAAAGAATGATTCATTTTAAATGGCTTATCAACCCTTTGCAGTTTATTTAAAGCCAGAAAATATTATTAGATTGTAAGAATTAAAAAAAAATATTGATTTAGTTATGCAAGCCTTACTAATTAACCCATACCTGGGGGTAAAAAGGTAGATTCATACTTTTCCTAAGGGTATGAAGCCAACTGGAATTGGAACTTGGCTCTCTGATTAACAATTTTGATCCATTACATCACCCACACATCCAAGCTTGCAGCACCTGATACTCCTAAGTGGTCACTCATCAAGGTACTGGCCAGGCTTGACATTGCTTAACTTCGGTGATTGTATGGATATTGGTGTTTCAATGTAATATGGCTTTAAACATACAAAGAAAAGAATATTGAATTAATATTGGCGAGACACGGTGGAGTTATGGATAGCGGCTCAGATTGAGGAATTGGGGAGCTGAGTTCGAATTCCAGTTTAATCCATTACATTCATTTACGTGCTAATACCCTGGGGAAAGGTATGAATCCTCCTCTTCTTCTCCTCCTCCCAGCTATGTGAAAATAGCATGGTAGACTGGATTCTATAGCCTTAAATGGCAACTGGTCTACCACAGAAAGAAATGGCAACCCACTGTGGGAAATAATTTACCTTGTCAGTCATGTATTGAAAATACATGATCACCTACATGTGTATCACACATGGCACATAACTATCTAATATCAGTCCTCCTATATGGCAGTGAATGATGGACAATCTCTTCATAGATTAAAAAGAAGCAACAGAAATGTGGTTCTACAGAAGGATGCTGAGAATATTATGGACCAAACATGAGAAGCTACAAACTACAACTAGAAACAATGGCAACAAAAAAGACACTTATGTTTAACATCAGGAAGAGATAGTTGAAATTTCTGGGTCACATAATCAGGAAAGAGGGCATGGAAAATTTGATACTCACAAGAAAGATTGAAAGTAAGAGGTCTAGAAGAAAGCAACACACAAACTACCTGACAAGCTTGAGCGAATGCATAGTGGAACAGTGTTTGAGAGAGATAGTAAAAAGACATAGGTTATTAAGTGCTACAAAGGACAGGAGATTGTGGAGAGTCATGATCCCCAACGTCCTGAAGGGACATAATATACAGAAGAAGAGTCATAAGCTGAACTAATACCAAAATAGAATATGACAAAACAAAATGACTCCATGTTAGGTGTGTCATACAAGAGCTAAATCCAAATATAATGACTAAATTGCCCATATTGACAAATGATTTAGGATGTCGGTGATCATGGCTCTCTACAACTTCCTCTCACTTGTAGCTCAAAGCATTGTTTGTGTTATTACAATCTCTCCTATCTCTGGATTTCTATTGTCTGTTATAACACATCCCAGTTAAATCACGCTTTTGTAGTTCACACCTTCGGCTGTTCCTTTTGTTGATAGTGATACATTCTGTCATCTTCCTACTAATGGTTACTCCTTCCTTCTCTCTTTCTCTTACTACATTCTGTAGGAGTTCATACAGTTTGTTTTCTGTGTCTACCATCAACATGTTATCATTTGCATATCTTATGTTGTCAAAATTGTGTCGACCAATAATAAATCCTGGTAGGACATCTAGTTCTTTTAGAAATGCCTCAGTGTGTAGGTTGAAATAATCCAGTGGGAAGACACATTCTTGTCTTATGCTCCTCTTAGGAGTTCAAATAGATATTTGTTTCATTCCTGATCAAATACTTCCGGAAATGATAAGCAGAAATGTTGATGAAGGAAAGGAGAAACCTCTTAGTTAAATTTTACAGTTGTAGTGCCTTAATAAACATATTATCAGCAACATCCTGAAGGTATAAAAACAGGTGAACCCTTAAGTAAATCTTTTCTTGTTTTCCTCCTTTCAAAGTGTGAGCCATCAACTTTTCACTCTAAAGTGAAAACTAGGTGCTCTCTGGCTTGGGGAAAATTCAAAAAGCTCATACCTATTCTCACATTGAAACATATATCGTTGAGAACTTGTAGCAAATTGTTCTCTGCATGTGTATGATCAGCACTGCTCCATGGCAGTGAGACTTGGGCATCAAGTGCATTGGTCTTGCAGAAGCTCTGCCACAATGACTGTTTGATGATTCACTGGATCTGCAACACCAAGCCTGAGTTGTTAACAAGGCTTGGTATTGAGACTATAACATCAGAGCTGTGCACATGTTGTCTTAGTTTGGTCATGTCCAATGAACTTTGTCATGCATCAGGACAGTCTTGTAGTTCAGGGTTCCTGGTCACAGAGGTTGAGATAGACCTAGGAAGACATGGAAGGACTGCATTGGGAGGGATGGGCAGGAGTGCGGCCTTGCCCATATTACCTGCTTGACAGGGATGCTTGGAAAGATGGTGTGAGAGCTAGCTGACTGCTTCCTACCTGAAGCAATATAATCAAAGCTCTGGATCTTGACTTGATGCTTCACATACAAACTGACCTAAAAGAATTGCTCCTATCCCAAGCCAACATGCATAACTATAAAAATGTTAAAAAAATTAAAGGAAAACAGTCTAGTTCATAACCCCCTGTTCTTTTGAAATAATATATAATACATAAATTTATCCCATACTAAAATAATCTAAATTAATTGCAGAAAAAGAAAAAACAACAATAACATCATTTACTCACTTTCGTTTATTAGACATTGAAATACGTCACTTAGTGTCTTCCATAGTTTACCTTGACTTTTCAGATAACCTGATGCATATTTATGAGTGTATCTTAAATTTAAAAAATTTGAGAAACTAACAATAGTTTTACTTTTGTTTATAAACACTTGTTGAAGTAACACAACTCTGACATGAGGTGATATATCAAGAGGGTTCAGTAAGGATTAAATGTGCACTTCCTCTCCCTCTATTTCTATCTCTCTCAGTGGTTTGTCATGAAACCAGTGGTATGAAATGTCATAACTTAGTTTACCAACCATTTGAAGTTATTATGCAAATCACATAGCAAAACAACCACTTTTGACCAGTGCTCAGATGTTTGAACAGGCTGGAATTGAGGGAGTCAAGAAGGACAAAAAGTGTATCAAACTCGGGTCTGTCAAGGAATCTCCTAGGCAGATTCCTCTCAGTAAAGCAAAATATTTGAAAGTGTTATTATGAAGCCAAGAAATGCAGGAAAATTGACTTTTCTAAAGAAATTTTCTTGGATGAAACTGGGTGGGGGTATACTTGATGCACCTGATGGATTATCCAAAGGATGGGTTTTATCCAATGTAGATGTGCATGTGGCTAAAAGAAGGCAACCATTATTGAATCATTCAAAATCGATGAAGGAGTTAAACTGAAGTATGGTAACTATTGTGATTTTATGGACAAGACTTTCTTTGAATGGTACAAGTCCCAACCTTGCAGTTTCAAATCAAACTGTGCATGACAAAGCTCCTTCTCGTGTATCTAATGTTACCTGTGAATTTTTTGAGCTTAAAAGATTCACAGGAAAGAAGATAATGGAATGGCTACACCATCATGTCCTGATTTGAATCTGATCAAAAATCTATGGTCAATTGTGAAGATGAAATTATATGAAGATGTCAAACAATATAACAGCAAAGCAGACATGTGGGAAGCAATTAAAACATCATATCAGAAATGAAGTCTACTGAACATTCTGTCTATTTAACAAAATCAATGGGTAATAGATTACTGGCTTTTATTGAGAAGAAGGGTTATTATATTAAGATCTAAATGCTTCAAAGACTTACCATATGTGTTTGTTAGTTGTTTTATTATAGGTGTTGATCAAGTGTTGATGATTTTATTACTTTGCTATTGAAGTAAAAAATGATTTTCTGGTTTTGCATAACAACTTCAGCCTGCAGTTTTTATAATAAATCCAATAACTTTAATAAAACATATTGAAACTACCAAAACATTTAACTTGAGCTTTGTTTTGATGTCTAAATTAATCATGTAAAATTTGAGAAAAATTACTCAAAGAAACTTATTAAGGTTTATGTGATTTGTATAATAACTTCAGATGGACTGTATATTGGCATCAGGCCATCAGAGTTAATGAGGATAAAATACACTAGAATATTAATGGTTTTTCAAGATGAAGAGACCATTATTCCATGGTGATGCATTAATATATATATATATATATATATATATATATATATATATATATTTTTAAAGTAAATCTGATGGAATGGTTAATATATAAAACAATTTTCAAAAGTTATTTTGACATGTTTCACCAATCAGTCAACATCATATATTATAAATACTATAGGGCTACTTCTTACTAATGAAGCCAATTGATTGGCAAAACATGTTAAAATAAGAATTTCTGCTAATATATATATATATATATATATATATATATATATATATATATATATATATATTGTTTAAAATTTGATATATTTCTAGGAGAAGAGTGCTTAATATTGAAGATAGAGTATTAATAGATATAAACAGTGTGGACAGAGGAATCAACACTGCCTGATGATTGTCAGTTTCAAACCTCAATGTTCAAACTAAGTCTAAGTATCATATTTAAATTTGAAACTGATAATCACCGTGATGTATTAATTCCTATGTCCACACTATATATATATATATATATATATATATATATATATATATATATATATACATGAATTTTTTACCAAAGTTAATTAAAATAAAAGAGGGTTTAATACATCTGTACTGATCTTTGAATAGCCTGAGGAGATGAACGCAGGGTGACTTTGGAGTTTTGACAGAGGGTAAGGAATATCTACGTTCCAAGTCTCTGACACACACGCTCACAGCAAAATCTGCTGCTTCGAGTGGAATAGTTTGATTGTTGGTGTGCTCAGATCCCAAGAACCAATCAGAACAAGCAATTCTGAATGCGAAAATGTTCCCGCCCAGAAGGGATCACTTTTGGTGGAGCAAGAGTTTGCAGAGAAGAGAGGAAGGGAAGGGTTAAATAAAAAAAAAAAAAAAAAATGGAAAGGTTGCTGAAGGTAGAAATCATCCTTAAGTTATAAAAAAATAAAGAAAAGCAATAACAAACATAAAAATTGGGATTTAAAAGAGGTAAATTAAAATCAAGCAATAATGATGCCAAGTTAAAATGTCTCATCTTCATTATATTTTTATCTGATTTGATTTTTTTTGCATGTTTGTTTTCAGTGTACACATGAACATGTGAAAAAAAATTTGCAAATAAGGAAGAGTTTTATTAGGTTTGCTGTAAGGTGCTAACTTGAAAATAAGCTTTAAAAAAACCTAATAACATCAACAAAGAACAGAGTAAAGACAACAACAACGACTCTGTCTGTGGGTGTACAGAGATACGGGGTGGAGGTTTTAAGAGAAATTGT